GCACACAGTGGAAACACTCATTAATATCCTACTTACATACCTATAAGGGCTACAAATGGGAGAGATAAAATAAGTGCAAGGTAGATTGAAACTTGATTGGTTGTCCTCCCTGAACCAAAAATGATCTCAGTAGTAAGGAATAATTCCCATAGCTTTATCTTGGTGTCTATTAATGAATGAGGCCTTGCCGTGTGATTGGGTGTGATTGGGTGTGTGTGGGGGGGGGGCTAGGGATTGGACATACAGATCATAGAGATTTGTGAAGGTTTAACGTTGTCATTATGCCGCTAATAAAGAATTTAATTTAACAGTGCTATCTGCTGTTTGCTTTTCTCTGAACAGCACAAAAAGATTATTGATGTATTACTGTTGACTTTAATAATCAAAATAAATTGCTGTTAGACCTGCAGGGTCAGTGAAGGTGTGCATGGTAGCAGCGTCACGGTGGATTCCTTCACACATCTGTTACACTTAAAAATAAGAAAAAGAAATTCTTAGAGCAAGTCCTTATGGTCTGGCTAGACTTTGAAGCATTTTTGTACATGCACACTTTCACTGTCATAGATCTTCCCAATTATTTGCCTGCTGATGCATCCATCCATCTGTTTTCTTCTTTACTTATCCAGTTCAGGGTTGTGGGAAGCTGGAACTGAGTTCCAAATCTATAGTGAAATCAGATAGTATTTTCTTCAATGCTTTTTTATGGTTCCTTTGGATAATTTGCTTTTGAAACATGTCTCATTTATATGATATGAAGAGTATGTCTTTTGTCAACCATTTCAAAGCATTAATTTAAATAGTAGTGTTGGTTTGGGTTAAGAAATCACAAACTGAACCACCATGACTTTTCATCTGTTACACAGGTACACAAAAATTAGACCTAAATGAAAATCAAAATATTAGCACACACACAAAAACTGGAGCACAGACTTCCTGGTTGGTCTGTTTGTGTAGTTACCACCCAGCAGGTCTTATTACTGGCAAGAAAATTACATTAAAAATGCTCCAACAACACAAACAAGGTCAAAGGGTGAGTTGTGGCAGACAGCTGGTAGCAAAGTTAGCACCTACCTGTCACATAAAGCAGGAAAACATAAAATAATGCATAACTTCAAGCCTTATTAAAATGTAAAACTATAGCTACAAAGGACAGTAGCTTTTGGCTAGGTCAGTATTCTAGCATCAGCGTTTATGGGGACTGGCTTGTTCTGAAGTCACCCTCAAGTGGTAGATTAAAGAAATCGGCACACCCTGATTTGATTTAGTCAGTCAAGTATAAACTTTCAGCTGCACTTCTATACTATTGTTTAAAAGTTCCTTAAAAAACATATTACCACCAGCCTAAGCTTCGCGTTTGGTCCTGATCAGCAGATGAATATTTATAGTGGTGAAGATGGGAAACATGAGGCGTTCAAAACAAAGGCGTGTTAGCATTGTCGTTGTGAGCATGTAAGCAAAGTGACAAATGCGCTGCAAACCATTAACAGCCCTTGAAAGAGAAAAATAAAATTTTTGCACTTTGATTTTCATGCTGTACTCCAACCTCCCGCATCAGATTTCACACAGTTTCAAACAATCACCACTGTTTGTCAAACATAAGGTCCATCCAAGCTTACTTTGCAAAGCAAAAACCATTTTTCAAACTCTCCAGCAGCCATTGCTAATTAACTTAGGAGGGAAACAGCAATTAGAAATGTATAAATGCATGAATTCAGCACCATGGACAGACAGTTTCTGAGAAGCAGCAAAGGGAGTTGCTTTAATTTTGTTTCTCAACGGCAGAGGTGCTAAGCTCCAGTTCTTTATTTGAACAAGCTGCCTGTCAGAGTGCCACGCTGACGTATCTTTGCTTGTGCACTTGCAAAACCTGACACAATTCTCTCGTGGCAAAATGGAAAACACTTGCAGCACAATGCCTGCTTCATATCGTCTGATGGGAAGATTAAAGCCAAGCCAAACAAAATTCACTCTCTTCGGCTCGGAGTCGGTCGATGGCGAGACCACCAGAGGGGAACGACTCACTCAACTGCACATGTCATCAGATCACATTATCATTGATCTTTGTTTCCCAATCTCGTCCTCTGTCTGTCTTTACCTTCTCCAGTCTGCCTTGTGTGTTTTCCGTAACATTTCCCATGGCTCAGTGGTGCCTCTTGTCTCAGTGTGTGCGATAGTGTGATAAGAAATTGCAATGACTTCACCAGAAGAACATCCGGATTGAAGTGTGTAGAGATACACTCCTTACATCAGTCCATTTTATAACATTTTCTCAGCTGCTTATCCAATTCAGGGTTTGATAGGCAGTTGTGATTGGACAAAACAGGGCTCAGATACACTATTGCTAGAAAATAATGATACATATGTTTGACTTTATACGACTGTTATTATACAGTAATACTAATAGTCATATACTGTACTCTTGCTGATAACCTCTCTTATTAGAAATAATGTGCTAGGAGCTATAGCGCTGGGTAAGCACTCCTAGTCTGATGTTGTACTTTTCTACTTTAATACTGTTTTAGCTTTCATTTCATACCCTGCTGTTTGCTACAATACCAGAGCCCCTCTAACAAAGTCCTCACATAAAGGAGCATCGTTCAGAGCAATCATTCAACAAATTCTGTGTTGCAGTAAACAAAAATGTAACAGATGCTTTGACTGTAGCATCGTGTGAATGTTTTGGGGGACTAGAAGTAGAGCGAGTAAAAATAATGCAACAAGCTGTAGGTCTGATCTATCAGTTAACTTCAAACAAAGGACAGCGAAAGCAAATAATGAAATCAATATTTTGCCTGTTCGCCCTTTGCCTTTAATACAGCACCAGTTCTCCATGATGCACTTTGCTTTAAAATTACTTGGCAGGTAAGTTGTTCCAAGAACTTGCCTCAGTTCTCCTGTGGATTCAGGCTGTCTCGCTTGCTTTTCTCTCTTTGTGTAATCCCAGACTGACTTAATGAAGCTGAGATCAGGCCTCTGCGGAATCCATACTATTTGATGCTGAACTCCTTGTCCTTTATATCACTGATAATAGATATTTATGACTCTCTCTGTGTATTTGTCATGCTGCAAAGGTGAATTTAGGGCCAAAAAACGTCTCCCACGCTATATATAACATGATGGATAAGAATCTAAACATCTAAAGGTCTTGAAAATCAAGATTTTTACAGCACAGCAGATAAAAAGCTAAAGATTTCACATGAGATGACTGGCATATAAACCCTGTATTAGGCAATTGATTTTTTTCTCTCTAGCTCACAGAAAAAAAGAGCTTTACTGAAAAACCCAGCTCTGATTCAAATTGCTGTCATTATGAATGCTAAAGGCAATCATCAATGATACGCCTTTCAGTCAAAATCCGTGTATATGTCAAGTCAAAACTGATTTTAAACTTTAAAAAAAATTGAAAACAGTAAAATCAATAATAAGCTTCTTTTGTTTAAAAAAATTTTGGGAACAATTGCGGCCATTTAAGTTTTTGAAATTAGTTGTTACGAAAACAAGATGTACAACACTCTTCCTGTCTCTGCTGTGGTCGCCAGGGAATCTGAATATCTCTAAATGCTCTCCATATGTCTGGCAACTTCAGTGATCCCTTTTATTTTGGTGTGCCAGGGTAGATGAGTTACATTCTCATTCTCATTCTCTTTTACTCGAGCAAATTACTGCACTAAAAATTCCAGGAAAAACCTAACAAAGAGGTAGATCTACGACTGTAGCGTGTCTAAATTTGGATTGGAAGAAGCTTGCCACTCGTTCAATCTTTACCGCCAGCAGAGGAGCTTTAAGGTAAGCTATAATGATGCATAGGTGTGCAGAACAAAAAAAACCCCACAAAAAACCTCCTGTTGTTGAAAATCACTCTCTGATACAGGGGTTTGCTGTATGTGAAAGTGAGCGCTACATGTTACAATTGTTTATTTGTCTCTGTTCAGCTTGATGGCAGCGTGTCACATCTATTTCCTGGATCTGTCTGTGAGGGAGTGATTCATGTGGACAGCAGCACAGATTGCGCTGGTGGCTGGTGATTACTCAAAATAGCTCTGCCACATTGTGCAAGTTCCCGTGGGCGTGCACGCGTAGAAGAGCACTTGCATGAATGCCCTTAAATGTTTGTCCCCGTGTCTGTGCACTAACAAAAAATGTCTGCTTGTATGTGTACATTCCTACCTTCATGTGCATACAGTCTGGAATCTGGCGAGTTTCTCTCCACCCACCCATGGTGGGCCTCTCTCAGCCAGATGGATGGTCTCAGCCAGTGTCAGCGAGGTGACAGCTGGCTGGCCTGGCCTCTCCTGGCCAGGGATCTGGATTCTATCCTCTGACAGCTCCTGATGGGTGACACGTCCACCGTTCCCCCCCCCCCCAAAACCCACCCATGTGCTTGCTTCATGGAAACTCACGGTTTACTGGAGAAATCGATGACGTCTCGCAGCATGCTTTAATGAAATGTAAATGATATGAGCCACACCCCGGTGAGACGACGCCTGAACTCTTAAGTGCTCTTAAGGAAGTAGCCACCCTACTGATGATTGACTAATTAGGGCTTTTTCAGCGGCAGTAAAACAAGTTTTATACAGGAAAAGAGTAATAGCTGTTCCACTCCAAACTGAAGTTAAGACAACAGGTCAGACTTCAGACTGCAAAGCAATAAGAACTTATGTACCGTGTCAAAAACCTCATTAGGTAAGCTGCGCACATCATCGCAAAATCTCATGAAAGTCATAATTTAGACTAATCCAGTGCTACTCTTTTCACTTCACACAACACCCGGCTCTCCCTCCTGCCTTTTCTGTTCTCTCACTCTCAGCCTTAAGTGGCCTCAGTATCACAGTCCTCTCGTTTGAGAGGCTGGCAGTGTAAGCTGCAACGACCGGAGGAGTGCTGCTGTAACCGGGGAGGGTGTGCAGGATCTTTATAATGTGAGTGTGTGTGTGTCTGTGTGTCTGTGTGTGAGTCATTACATTCAGCTTCCATTCGGCAGGCTGCAGGCTTCGGCAGGACAGAGATGGCTTTGCTAAACCAAGCCTGTGGTAATGAGACAGCTCTGCAGGGATGAGAAGAACACACACAGAGCAAGTTTGAAGACGTCTTCTGGCCTCCCAAAGGTAATTCCCTTAAATGAAAAGCAGACTGCATGCGAGTCATTGTTGTGCCGAGGGGGTGAGGATGAATGGTGACGGGGTTGTATTTCAACACACCTCCCCACGGTCTTATGATGGGCCCGAGATGAGTGGAGGCAGAGGTACCTTGTTCAGACACACCCTGCCGATGCTCTCCTTACCCAATTATCCTTGACTAGAATGACTTGTGTAACACTGGCTGTGTCACGCAGCTTTAGAATGGATTCTTTATCCTATCAAGGCCTTTTCATTTTTCAGATTAGGAGGCGCTCTTGCTTCCAACCAAGGACGCCAACAGGACTGAAGTACTCCACATCTGGGAGACATTAGGAACACATGGAAGAGGCTCATTTAAGGCTCTTGTTAGCTCACCTGGTGCTTTAAGTAGGACCATTAATATTGAGCTACTTAAAATATGAACAACCCTCTCTTCTCATGTCTGTTCGATGAGAAATCCTCAGTGTCCCTCAGTGTGCACCAGCATGTCAATTCCAGGCTTGCATCTCACTATCAAAGTGGCTCAAGCTGTGATTTGGAGCTAATGGGCTTTCCAGATGTTCTCCCTTGCATTTCATTGAATCCAACACCTCTACAGGCCACTGTCCAGCCATAAATCACAGGGTGCATGCTGCATGAGAAGAATGAGAGGATGTGGCTTGATGCATAAGTTACATGCTCGATTCATGAGCTCATTGCGAATATCTTCAGAAACCGAGCAGAACAATTAGCTGTTACCTTAACCCCAGAGGCCACAAAGTCTCTTAAAGGGCTTTGCTATCCCCTTTATAAGCTCTGAAGGCCCAGCTCAAAGCCGCAGGGACAGCAGAGCTTTATATGAATGATTTGGTTTTATGTGGTATTCTTGGATGACAGTCCACCACGAGTCACTGTTCAGTGTTAGCAACAATTCACGGCTTTATTTGGTTCTGCAAGGGAGCTTCAGGTCCAAGTGTCTCCAATTGGTTGGGTTGAACAGATGTCTGATAAAATGTTCTTCTCCCATCTATCCAGTGTAAATGTGCGGTGGTGGCTGTTATTAATCTCTGTAAAGCATCAGGCAATGTTTTCATTCCAACCGCTGAGCCAGAGCGAGGTTCCAGCAAGAATTACATCCATATCAATATTCAAAACGCTGGCTGAATTGAGCATTTAATCGCAAACACTCATGCATCCATTGTCCAGGTAATTAAATTATCTAATGGGCTATTTTTTTGTCCTCCACAGCCAACATTATCCAATGAGAATCTCAACCCTGAGCTACGCTGAGGTTTTATTGCACAGACCCCTCGCTGATCCGAACTTTTCTGAATCCATACACAGAACAAATCACACAAATCTATGATGGTTATATTTCACTCCAAGTTTTCTCTCCAAGTGAGATTTGGTTACTGAGGCCTTTGGGAAATCATGCCATTTTAAATCTTTCTCCTTCCTGAAAGAATGTCACCTCCAACCCACTTTTTAAGCTTTTATAAATGACCACTGGCACGTCTAAAGTCTTTTAATATGCAATCCATCTGTTTTTTGCCTCATATACGGGAAATGAGCCGATCCATAATCTGTACCTGCGCTGGCGAGGTCATCCGACGCGGTGACGAGAATGACTGATCTGGTGTTAAGGTTTATCTTTCTATGAGATTTTCACTTGGCTTTGATAGCTGAGAGGAATGATTCAATCAATGGGGAAAAAAAGTGGGGGAGGAAAGAGATGTTTGTTTCCACTGATCCACTTCTCACATGGTATTAGACATTTCCCAAATAGCTCCCCACCCATCATATGTAATGGTGTGTGAATGTCAAGTCTTGTTTAACTGAGTGAGCATTTTCACACGTATGTTTTAACCTCTGAACGGTAAAAGAACCTCTAAATCATATTGGGTTTTTTTTTATTATCAACTCTTATTAATAACCATTCTGTATATGAATTTCTTTTTGGCAAAACCTGCGATGATATAGTGATGTGTGAGCTCCATCCACTAAGCACTTAAGCTGTAATGAGTATCAAAAGCAGCTCCAGGTCTCCATAGTGACACCTCGAAGCTTGGCACTGTTGTCCCCAGAGAGCTGTGTGCCAATAATAAAGCCCAGAGCGGCTGCGCTGACTGTCAAAAGATCATCCTGTTATTTATTCTGTACAAATTACTTGCATATGTTCACCACCGCCTTGCCCTCAAGGTTAAAGCTCTCATCCGAGCCCAAGGAGGGATGAGAGAGCACAGTTGGCAGAGTGATAGATCTACTCTCAGCTGCAGCCGCTAAATGTTATTTCTCGTTTCCCATCCACACCTCGAAGCAAAGTCCAGGCACCGGCATAAATGAGTTCCACAGATATCCCTGTGAAATTTTGGCTCGTTCTCGGCCTGTTTGCGATCACACCTTTAGATTCACATTAAAGTCAGATCAGAAGTAACTCGAAAGAACACCTTCACACGGCAAACAATTACCGTCAATGTCATTTGCCTCAGTGTGATAGGAAGTGGGGGAAGTGACGAACTCTGGTTTTTCAATATCAAAGGAGAGGTTTTGGTTATGGGGATCACTGTGTGTGATGAGGGGTGGCTGATAAATTAAGAAACTAAGTGGAGGAAGTAGTCCTGTGGTTCTACAAGGCAGCTGGAGATGGAAATCTGGATGCCATCTCCCCAGGTTTGCACAGGTCAGGCTGCTTTGTGGTTGGTACAGACAGTAGACAGACTAACATTAGGCCCTTCTCAGCAGAAGACAAAAGTTGCAACAGCCATTCACATTCATCACAGGCCTCATAAATGTCAGCAAAGGAACTGCTGCAGACATGGCATGCAAAGGTGAATATAAACAAAAATAGGTCATAACCTGGATTCCATTACAGTACATAGTGTGGCGTCCTGCCTCAGCTTCCATTCGGGCTCTGCTGTTGCTCCACTTGCGTAACGTTGGCTAAAATGGAAGATCTATTTGTAACAGCCCTTTAATATATTATGCAAAGGTCATATGTAGGAAATAAATCAAAATCTTAGCTTTGCTTTGGCACCAGTTCAGGTAACAAAGTCAGAGACACCTTTGAACAATAGCACAGACTCTGAACCAGCAATAGCAAACACAGTTTTATTTCACTTCCGAGTTGTGTTCCAGGAAATTTTATGGCATTTCAGGTCACTGGCACTGTTTGTTAGAGAACTTTTCATATTTAATAAAATATATTGATAGCAAAAGCCATTAATAAAAAAATGGAGCACATTCGTCTCTTAAAGTCCGGGCTGTTCCACTGGGAATAGTATATCCACGTGTTCCTTTCCTTGACATTCTCCCTCACTTTTTAACAAGCTGGCAGCGGCACGTAAAGCCCTCCTCGTCTAGAACAAGGTTAATGCAACTCTTCTGATCACATTCTCAGAGGAATTCTCCGGATCCAAATGTAAATCCGACTGCAAGAAAAGTAAATTAAAAAGTAATCTTCATATCATGTATGGAGGCTTCAATTCCTAAAACCAGTCTGGATACAGACTAATCAGTTATACTTGTTTTTATATGAGCCAGTTATCCTCTAAATGAATCCTAATTCATATTCCACTGTATCAGGTGTCAGAAAATCCTTACTTTTCTTTTGTTCTTTCATGTTTCAAAACTCATTTCCTCATTGTAACACGATTGCTTTCCCGAGTAGGACATACCGATTAAAATAAACACTTTGATGGGTTGCTTTTGTTTTGAAATATGGATCTATTACAAATGGGCTCCTGACAAATAAACACATGCCTGGCTTCCCTAGAGGCTCAGAGGGGCTCAGATGGAAAACAATGCCATAGCGATCATAAAAGAGAATAGAAAATCCTCTGCATGTCATGCGCTCTTACATTATCCATCAGCTTGAACGAGCTGTTTTAGAAAGGGCGGACAAAATATACACATCCCTGGATTTGACAAGGAATTATTCTAACCTCCACTGGAGAATAAATCCACCCTCTCCTAATCCTGTGGTAACTTGTAAACAGTCTGCTGCTCACATGACATATCTCATACCCGCTGAAGTATTTTACAGATTCTTTCTTGTTTTGCAACATGTCATGCTTTGAAAATCTGTGTCCATATAATTTCATTGTAAAGTCAACAGATTGTGGTTTTAATCCCAACATTCCACAGCATTGTGGTGCTGTCTCCCTCTCTGTTTTAAGCGATGAAGGAGGAGATGGCACGGTAGTTGTTTTATTAGTATCATGGATGGATGACCAAACAGTCATACATCTGTTTGAAGTGGCACTTGAAGCTTCTTGTTGGAAAGTCAATCAAATGAAGACAAACAAGGGAAAAACATGGAAAATGACCAAAAAGGAGAATGGAACAAAGACATGAAAAATAGCCACAATAGCAGCAAAACAATAATGCTGCTATTTATAAAATATAGTTCAGCATTGCCAAGAACTTGGGCTTACAATTTAAATTTTCTTACCCTTTTGCTAATTTTACAAATATACTCTTTCTAGAACCTTGCCACAGTCTGGGGACCCTGATTGAAAATTTTCTACCCATCACTGGTCTCCTTTAGAAAAAAACATGTGTTTGGTGCTGTTTTAAGCGGTGATTGCATGCAGCTTGATGTCCAGAATCCATGACCCTGAGCATAGCTCTAGTCATTTGAATCAGAGCTTTGAGTGGAATCTGCTGCAGTCACAGAGGAGCTGGACTCAACTCACCTCTTCTTTTCCTTGGACTTAACAATAAGTATGTGCCAAGGGACAAATACGTTTTTTTTCTTTTACTGCAAATCTTGGATATGATTTTTTTGTGCAAATTTAAAGTTGGTTTACATTAACTCATCACAGGGATGAATGTCATGATAATTTTGAAGCTATTAGTGATTCCATTAGACTTTTTTCTTTTTCCAGGGTGGAATAATTGTACCGCATAGATCTTCAATGACTTCCACTCAAACACATCCACTAATAGCAGGTAAAATGTCCCTTAACATGTTGCACCTCAACCAGATGCTTTTAGTAGCCGTGAACAAA